CTAGGGTGTTGCTAGGGGGTTGCTAGGGTGTTGATAGGTGGTTGCTAGGGTGTTTTGGGTGGTTGCTAGGGTGTTTTGGGTGGTTGCTAGGGTGTTCTGGGTGGTTGCTAGGGCGTTGCTAGGCAGTTGCTAGGGTGTTCTGGGTGGTTGCTAGGGTGTTGCTAGGGTAATTTGGGTGGTTGCTATGGTGTTACTAGGTGGTTGGTAGTTGTCAAAGATGGTTACTGTTGAGTTTGTAGCATTTTATTGGCATGATTTAGCACTTAGCTAATCAATATTAGCATGTAGCTATTCACTGCTAGCATGTGTAGCATGTAGCAAGTCCTGTTTGCTAGCATGAGTCAAAAGAGCCAACCCCCATCTCTATACGATGTTCTGATGCAGAGATACTGGTCTTGCAAAACGGTTGCTAGGGTACTCTGTTTGGTTGCTAGGGAGTGGCTTGGCAGCTGCCAATCATGAAGCTCCAAAGTCAATGTGAATGTATAAACCAACCCCCATCTCTATACGATGTTTTGATGCAGAGATATAGGTCTTGCAAAATGGTTGCTAGGGTACTCTGTTTGGTTGCTAGGGAGTGGCTTGGCAGCTGCCAATCATGAAACTCCAAAGGCTGCTTGTCAGTATAAATGATATAAACCAACTCCCATGCCTCTGTGACATTCAGAATGGAAGATATCCCTGTTTGGATTTTGGTTGCTAAGGTGCTCGACAATGGTTGCTAGGGCGTGGCCAGTAAGTGTTGAGGTGATTCAGGATTGGCTGTTTGCTGCCCCGAGTCAAACGAGCCCACCCTCATGTTTCTATGACTCTTATATTCTGAGATATCCCTTTGATCTGTTTCAATGGAAGTCTATGGAACTTGTTGCTAAGGAGCTCTAAATGGTTGCTAGGGCGTGGCTTAATAGCTTCACAATGATCCTGAGAGACTGATTGGCCGTCTGAGTAAAATGAGCCCGCCCCTTTGTCTCTACGAAACTGTGATCCAGAGTTATGTTCAATATAAAAGCGGTTTCTATGGTGTAGGACGGCCCATTTCATGGGCCGTCCTACACCATAGTAAGTCAATGGGGCAACTTTGGGCAGCTCCTGCCCCACAGGGGTGCAACTTTTACCCCATTGTGTGGTATATTCTTACAGAGCCTGTCAGCCTCTTCAAATGTGGTAAATTACACGTTTCTGCGACATCCTCGTTCCGAGCTACGACTCGTCAAAGTTTGACGCAATGTTAAGTCTATGGGATTTTTCGGACGGTTTTTCGCCCCTGGGGCGAACATCGTACCCCCGATCCCTTATAAAAGTCATAGCACACCATTCCCGAACAGGCCGCACGTTTTGACACCTCATTCATGGGTCTGTGACAAAAACTGCGGGAGGAGTAGCGCGTCAAAAAGTGGCCAGAAGAATAAGAAGAATAAGAAGAATAAGAATAATAAGTATGCACAATAACACTAGTGTTGCTTTGCCATAGGCAAGCACCACTAATAAGTATGTGAGATAACAATAGTGTTGCTTCGCCATAGGCAAGCACCACTAATAAGTTTAAATAGGATTTCAGTAAGTTGGCTCTCCAAGCCAACTTAATAATAAGTTTAAATAGCATTTCAGTAAGTTGGCTCTCCAAGCCAACTTAATTATATAGATTTATATATATATATATATATGCACACAAACTTAAAAATGTATTATAAATCTAGAAATGATATAGGCTATACGCATAAATGCACAATGACATAAGTTGAATAGGCCTAATTTTCAATAATTACTTTAGTGAAAACATTTTGATGAATTAAAAACAAAATAGGATTTTATTTTTATTAGCAGGAGACTGAAGCACTTAAAGTCGCCATGAAATCAAAATTGACCAATCTGATTTTTTTATGGAACATTGCAGTATTTTTTATAAATGATCTGTGCACATTATTATTATTATTTTAATTAATGCACCTACTAATCTTGAATCAAAATGACTTCCCCTCCCTCTTGCAACATCTCTTCTCTTCTCTGATGATGTGTTTACTGGCATGAGGGCGGGGCAACCTGTCACTCACATGAGATCCACCAATAGCAAACCATCCGATCAATTCCCCACGGACAAAATCAAGTCCCGCCGACATTTATTCTTGACCGTGTTTTCATACGTCATAATAGGGAAGAAAAGGCATCCATACATCTTCTCAAAGTGACAGACTTACAGGGTCGACGCCGTCTTTCTCCATGCGCGCTCTCTCCAGGTAATAACCTCGATCCGCCACGTTCAGCCTCTTCCAGCTGTCGCTGATGCATTTGTTGATCTCAGACTGGGGCAGATCGGGATGCTCCTGCTGAACGCTCTGATGCACGTCGAAGTAGTAGAGCAGGTACGCTGACCTGTGACAGCAGACAGGCTGTTAGTGCAGCTCAAACAAGCACAGATGTTAACGCTTCTCCATGAAGGTCTACCTGGGCTTCTTGGGTTTGTCGGAGTTCTCCATGCTGCTTTTGCTCTTGCGTTTCTTCTTGGGCGAAGGAAGTTCCAGAAGCGTGTAGCAGCTCTCCACCTCCATCTCTCCATAAATGGCCTCCATCTCTAAGAGAAATAGAGAAAGAGAATGAAAGAAAAATGTCAAAATGTTTCACTTCAAGCCGTAGAGAGGTATCATTTAAAACTGTTCACCAGATTTATCCTGTAGGCCTACGACTGGTGATTGCAAGGCTTTTTGGCTTTTTTTTTGTAAGGAGGAAAACATAGCACTGTACATTTATTTTATGATTTTATTTTATATTTTGGTGTGATTTGACTTTTTTTTTTTTTGCAAAATGCAACTCAGGGAAAATATGTATTATGTTCCTATGATATTGATGTTGAATTTAAAATGTGGTATATTATAAATGTATGCATTATATATGGAAAATTATTTATCCGGCAAGGTAAATGGGCATCACAAAAACCTTCTTTTACTTGTTTTAAAATAAAAATAGGTCATTAACAGCAACAAGAAATAACGCAATAAAGATTGTAAATGTAAGATTGTACAATTTAATTAATGTGAATTATGCAATTCAAGGTGTGTAGTGAACTTTAATAATTAGTGTGAGTCTGAGACGATCATGGAAATAAAACAGAAGCAGATCAGCTGTAAGGATTTTTTCATTATCAGCCTTCAGGAATCAATATTTTATTGCCAACCATTTTTTGGTTGGAAATGTGTTTGCACCATCCCTATAACAAGACAAAATAGACAGAACATAAATTAATTAATTAATATTTAATTTTAAAAAGACAATCATTGTATAAAATATATACAATGTATATTTGTAATCAAAATATATTTTATTCAGTTTTATTTTTCATTTTGGGGTGAAATATCCATGTTTACATGCTCTTTACGGGTATCCTGACATTCCTTACATGATACTAACGGACTTCGGAGAATACTAGGCTATAGTATTATTAAAGTACATATACATAACATGGTGCTACCACGGTACTTGTATAGGCTATGCACTGTTTGTTAGCATTAGTTACACAGCTGGAACAGATGCAGGTAAACAACAAAAACGTTTGAACAATATCACGTGACACTCGTCAACAGCTTCATACGCATATATGATTTTAACTGCAGTGTGCAGTTTATTTACATAAAGCCACGGCTAAAGTGCAGAGTGTATGCACACATGTCAGAGTGTGTTTTATTCCCTCCCGTCACCGTGTGTGTGTGTGATGTCGGTTGTTGTTGAGTGCTGATACTGACTGTCTGCGGCCAATGAGCGCGTGTCTTATTGAAGCCTTACCTGAATGAGCGCAGGATCGGTCCAAATCTTGCCGAATCTCTCAGCATAACACCGGTAAAGCCGCGGGATCGAGGATCTGGATCATGTGTGTGTGTGGTGTGAAAGCTCAGAGCTGAGCCGGTGTTTTAGCGTGTGTTTCCTGCAGAATAGTGCCGTAAAAATGGCGGAGGAGAGATCAGATGAACGACTGGAGGCCCAATGAGAGTTTGATCTACAGCGCTTCCAACTGAATAGAGTACGAGCATTATTTTGCCCTTGTGTTTAAGCAGTATTTTTACACTATTTCAGTTCTGTTACATATATGTAAAAACTAAGACGCAAATAGAAATCAACCCCTACAATCTCTATAGAATGATAACACAAAACTGAATTTTGCCGTAAAGAGGAACGACAGTGATTGGTCAATCATGAACAGCGATTAGAAAAGTAACAAGTAGCACGTGTCAACCGTCGTTCTGAATCATAACAGAGAATCTTGAATATTGATTTTTTGTTGTTGTTGTTGTTGCACAGTTTAGTTGTTCTGTTTGTAGAAACCATATAGTGGCAAATATCTATGGTAAATATCTGTTTCCCAGGAGACAACGTTTTTTGACGGTTTATAATTTATTAACAGAACACCGATTGCTAATTTTTCATAACATGCAGTTAAAAAATAAATTTCAAATAAGATATTTATTCGTTCTCTCACCATTTTTTTTATTAATGCAAAAATTCAGAGGTTACATGTTTTTTTCTGTCGTTAGAAAATGTTTGCTAACGACAGAAAAGGGTAAATAAAAAAAAGATATGAGGAAAAAGAATAAGAGATTAATTTATACATCAATTAATAATATTTATTTCTCAGGCGACATAAAGTAGTTGTCGCTCTGTTGCTCAGGGAGCCGAATAATGCGTTTAGTCGTATTCAAATCTTGTTTTTGTCATAAAAAAAAAAATATATATCATTTAAGTCTTTCCAATACAGGCATGTTTTAATAAGACGCAAATAGAAATCAACCCCTACAACCTTGATAACACAAAACTGATAACGTAATGAAGAACGCCAGTGTTTGGTCAATCATAAACAGCGGTGAGGAAAGTAACAGGTAGCACGTGATATTGCCGTTTACCCCAGATCGGTCTGGACAATTATTTGCACCTGAGTAATGATAGTAAGAAACTTGAATAAACATTTAGTGGAAAATATGCATTTAAAATGTGATATTTATTATTTCGGGCCATTCTACTAAAAATAAAACAGCGTGAGTAGTTGAGTTCGAGCGAGTCGTCATTCATTCAGGGCAGAGAGTCGAGCGCACATTGAATCGATCATCATTTCTGCAGTATGGCGGAAGACAAGGTGAGAATGAAACAACGGTCTGTCTAAAATCAACGCTTTTTTATAAATTATTAATGTACAGATAGAAACAAATCGGGTATGTCGTGTATATTTAAGTATTGTGCTATCAATGGCACCTGCTGTTTGTTTATTAGAGCTGTTGTGACGCTTTTTTGGAGTAATGTAAAGTCACTGCTGCCTTTCTGAACTCTTGTCATTTGACGGCTGTCATCACACTTGGATCTGATTAACTGTAATTACTAGAAATAACAAGAAATGTATAGGAACACATCTTATTTTGACAAATGTTATTGTAGAATTTAATGTTTTCCTTGTTCCTGATGTGTGATCAGGATAAAATAATGTGTAATTTGTGTGATTTACAATATCAATAAATATGTTGATATTATAAGTCTATACTGTCTGTCTATTACTGTTCTTAAACAGAAAATACATCCACTAAATTGCATTCATGTAACATTATTTAAGTCAAATGATTTATTAAAACATTATAATATATGGAAAAAAAAAAATTTAATAAATGAATTATGACATACAAAAATGGCCACTGATATAAATTACATCTCTTTTACTTAATTAGCTTGTACCTCCATTATATCATAGTTTTAATGCTAAGGACCCCTAAACACAATAGAAGATCTGTTATATGTATCCTCCTCTATTGTTTGATGTTAAGAGTCTTTGCATGTTTTCTGAAAGTTAATTTAAAAAAAAAAGATCTCATTAATCAGATTGAAAGTGAAAGTGAAACGTAATTATAATGGATTGTTCCAGTCCTTGATTCCGATTGGTTGAGCTTGAGCTGTGTTCAAAGCCATTTTAAATGAATATACAAACACACACTTGTGACTGTATTACTGTGTGTTGCTTGGCAAACATCCTCCTTCTGAACTACATTGCTTGGTGGAAGAATAATATTTTTTTTATCAATAACATTTAATTTTGGTGTCTTTGTTGTTTATTTTATGAAACCTTGCAGGTATGTGGAATAACTGTGTTATGAAAGCAATAAGCCATGATGTGAAGCCGTGATTAACAGTGAATTTCACTGTACAGTAAATCACGCCGCCACGGCTTCTTAGGGTTTATTACTCTAATAACAGCATGTTGTTTTAGTGCATTGATCTGGATCTGATGTGTGTCGGGTCTGTTTCAGGATCCAGTGACCCGACTGAAGGATCTGGCTCAGCTCAAAGACCAACTGGAGGAGATCCAGAAGAAGGTGGAGAATGAGGTTCAAGCTGGAATCCCACAGGTACCACAGACCCACGACTGATCCGGCCCCGTCCTAACATACTGACGAACACCTACACACACTTTGGTTCTGTGCTGTTTATTAGTTTTGCTTTAGCCGATAATAAATATGTTGATATTATAAATCGATACAGTTTTGCCTGTTCTTAAACAGAAAATACTCACACTAAATTAAATTCATGTAACATTAGTCAAATTAAATGATTTATTAAAACATTAGAAAAAGAGTCATGGAAAAAGAGTGTGTGTTTGAATCGGAAAGATGTAGTTATTTAATTTGAATTAAATTTAATTAATAATGTCTGATGCAAATATGCTGATATATGTATATATATATTGCATCCCTATTACTTAATTATATCCTAGCGCAAGCGTTTTCAAATTTTTCTCATGGTAAGGACCATGAGAGAGCTTATTGATAAATATAAATGCAGCTGAATACTTTTATGTATAAAAATCAATTTATACTGTGTGAGGAAAATATTAAATCTAATATTATGACAACAAAATTAAATAATTTTCCAATATTAAATAATTTCCTTTTCATTATTATTATTATTATTAATATTATTATAAAACAAATGAACATAATTTCTCCAAAAAAAATTTTTACTTTTAAAGCATAGCTGAGATTTTTCTTCCCACAAATATTTTTATTTTAAATTATTGTAATTAATGCCAGTCTTTAGAAAGCAAAATTAAATTATTTATTTTAGTGAATGAAAAAAAAAAAACGTTATACATACTTGATTTATGCTTTTAGTGAATTTTGTGAATTCTCCGTTTGAAACCCCTGTCTACTGGTTAAAAGTGGGCTGGTAAGCAAAGATTGTATGTTATATAGATGTTGCTCTTTATAGACTGTAATACTGACAGCTCAATGACTGCACACTTCCAGCCAGCAGCTGACACCGTCTGTCCTGTTTGTGTTTCTTAGGGTGGCTCATTATTAGAGTCTCCTTTCCTGAAAGGATTCCTGGCTGGGTATGTGGTTTCCAAAATGCGTTCGTCTGCCATCTTAGGAGTCGCTCTGGGAACGCTGACGGGAATCTGCGCTGTTCAGAACTATCAGGTGCCCAACATTGAGGAGACCGTACGAGACTTCCTGAACTCTCTGAAGAAAGGACCCAGTGACTGAATTCAGACTGAAGAGGAGAGCATGTCATTCAACGTCACATCCCTCCTTCCCTCATGAACAAAACTGTTGATTTAGAAAAAAACTGTGTTTTGAGGTTTATATGTGAGTGTGGGTTTGGACTTTATAATGAAGACTGTTGAAATGGGCATCATGTAGGGCTGCACGATATGGCGTAGTGCGATTATCAAAGCGCAAAGACTGTGATTTAACTAATTATATATATACATTTTTCAGAGTGAAGCGCAGCATTGTGTTTATTTACACACACACACACGATTCACAGTCTGCATCTGCATTGTGCAAAAGAGAAGCTTTATGGTTGGTTTTTCGCCAAGTTTGATGCTTTAATGTTTGAAGATGAAGAAATGAAGACAGCCATAAATATTAGGATTGTAATTTTACAGTTGTACTGAAGAAAAAAAAAATTTTATTTTTCCTAAATTCTTAATTCCTTACAGTAAAATATTACAATAGTTTTTTATTTAATAATAATCATCAAAAATGTTAGTATTTTAATTTTACAGCTGTACTTATTTTTCTAGTTGTACTGTAAAAATATTATATTATGTTTCTTAAAAAGTCATTTTTTATTTTACTGTGAAATATTACAACAGTAGGTTTAATATTTTTTATTTAGTAATTATTATTATTTTATAATTATATTGATATATAATTACTAAATCTTTGGCCAAATTGTGCAGCCCTACAAACAAGCACAGCAAACCTCAAAACGTTTTTTAAATCGCAAGTCCAATTTTTAGCAGGAAAATCGCAAAGCGAACGTTTTTCCCAAGCCCTAACATCATGTCCATTTTATTTCATACTTTGCTGTTCAAGAATCAAGTTCGTCCTAGTGCTTTTTTTTTTTTTTTTTTTTTTTTTTTTTTTTTTGTAGGGTTTGTACATTCAAAAGCAGATCGCGAGCATGATTGCGGTAGATAATGTCGGTTCTCCTGAAGCAGAACCTCCTCTCAGAAGACGCTGGGTCCTTCTCCTGCTTCTCCTGGTTCTTATTTACGGTTCCCACGCTCCCCTCATCTCGCTCACCAAAGTGGATGGTCAGGTTCCCTTCAGCCCGTCGTCATGTGTGGTTCTGATCGAGTTGGCCAAGCTTCTGGTCTCATTCGCCTCTCTGTTGGCATCTGGGAATCTTTCCGCCCTCAAAGTGTCAGTGTCTGTGACGACGGTGACGCCGTACGCCGTTCCTGCCGTGCTCTACGCTTTCAACAACAACCTGGTGGTGTTCATGCAAGCCTACATGGACCCTAGCTCCTTCCAAGTGCTCAGTAACCTGAAGATCGTGTCCACCGCTCTCCTCTACTCGTCCTGCCTGGGAAAGCGTCTCCGGCGCGGGCAGTGGTTCGCTCTCGGGATGCTCGTGGCCGCCGGCGTTTCTCACAGCTACTCCGGTTTAGATCGGGAACCATCGGAGGAGGACGAATCCACCGGCAGGCTTCACGTCACATCCTGGGGTTTGCTGTTGGTGCTTGTGTACTGTTTTATCTCAGGATTGGCTGCCGTCTACACCGAGCGGGTGCTGAAAACCCAACGGCTGCCTTTGAGTCTCCAAAATTTGTTTCTGTACGTCTTCGGCGTGGCCATCAATCTGGCGTCGCATGTGTCCGGCGGCGGGCGGCAGGGCTTTTTGGAGGGTTTCTCCACACTCGTTTGGCTCATTATCGCGGGACAGGCCGCTAACGGGCTCCTTATGTCCGTCATCATGAAACACGGAACGGGAATCACACGGCTCTTTGTCATATCTTCTGCTATGCTGGTAAATGGTGTGTTGTCTTGGGGGCTTCTGGGAATACAGCTCACACCTTACTTCCTGTTTCCTGTTGTGCTGATTGGATGGGCTGTGTACCTGTATTACAGGTAGAGCTGACGACACCAACAGCAAAATTAAATAAATGGCCTTTACATTGTCAGTTTACTAAAACAAATTGTTGAAATATTTTTTTTGGAAGGTATGTAATTTTATTAAGTTGACAGCATATCTGAGATTAACACTTCACACAAATATTTTTATTTAAAAAAAAAAGATGTAAAAATTAGGGATGTCCCGATCCGATACTCAGGATCGGTATCGCTCCGATACTGCCATTTTTTGCGGGATCGGGTATCGATCTGACATCGATCAGACGAGGCCGATCCAAATCCGATATTGTGGTATTATGTGTTATTGTTAAGCCCCACAAAATGCACAAAAACATTCTAAAGTACCATAACGTTTTCGTGCACTCTATTATAAGTGTTCTGAAGCTATTATGTGAGATATAAATTAATATTTAAGTAATTAAATTCAAGATCACGTAAATTTTTCCCTCTCGCGGCTGTCAGTCATTCTCCATTCAGCATTCAAACAGCGCGTCGCGTTCGGTTGCAGTCAATGATGAAACTATCTTCAAGATGATTCAATGTTAATACTATTATACTTGATCTGTAAGATAAAGGTCTATGTTTTCGCATAAAACAACTTTATCTTGCTGGACTTTATTGCTGTAACTCAATCGTGTTACTCTCTACCGGGTGTCGGACGCTGTCAGTTTGATCACAACACTAGAGTCAGAGCACTATAATTGTTCTTCACGCGCACAGTAACTGAAATTTAAAACTGTTAAAAGAAAAGGCTCAATAAACGATTGCATAGATAGATACTGTATAATACACTGTCCATCAATATGTATCTCCGTTGTGCTTTGAACTTTTCAAAGCGGACTCGACGCGCTGCGTGCTGGAACTCCACGTGGCTTCAAGCGCATCATTCTCCGCTCGGGATGCGCATAAGCGCTTTGTGCCGCACTGTATTGGAGCCTTTCATATCATAATGCATTGACGCAATTAAAGCTTATTAACATTAATAATTATTAATGTTGCTGCCTCATTAAATAGCTGTGCAATACACTTAAAACATGTCTCAATTTTATAGCAGATTTAGCTATATCTAAAATAATTATCTTTTTCATTTTTGTTATCTTGTTTTTCATGAATGTATTTTACAACAATAAAAAGAGCAATGTGTATTATCCACTAATCTAGTTTATAATAGCATTTTTGTCATAGATTATGATCATATATTTTGGGGATTTGTTGTTTATCTTTATAATGAAGCTGTCTGTATTAAGTAGATTGTGTTTAACACACACAAGAGTGATAATCAGTTTAACACACAGTTATAGAAATTCTAATTGATTTAAAAAACAAAAACTGTACTGGTATTTACAATGTAGAATGCTGCTGTTTAAATTGTTTTAACTTTAAACCTGTTGGTAGCTAGCTAGCTTTAAGTACTGAAGTACCTGTATTTTCTTTCATTTATATATTTCTTTATTTTTTTGTAGTGTTTGAATAAAGGGTGGCAATCTTTCATAATCAACTGTTGTTGTGGACTATATAGGAGGTATATTTTAGGTGGCTAATTGAGAAAATTGCTATATTTTTTATTAGTTTAAGAATAAAATAAAAATATCGGATTAATATCGGTATCGGCAAAAGCCAAAGCTGCGGCATCGGTATCGGTATCGGAAGTGAAAAAGTGGTATCGGGACATCCCTAGTAAAAATGTTAAACATTCTTCATTAATATCTTGTGAATTTTGTAAAAAGTAATAATAAATAGAGTGTACGCCACTGAGGACAACCACAAAAGACGTATATCATTGCATTTGCTTTTTTATCGTTCTTTATGTATGAACCACAGCTCTCATTATTTCATTTCCCTCTTCTGTTTTTTTATTATTATTATTATTATTTTCTCAGCATGTGCCCTAAAATATCTCTGTTGCCTTTGTCCTCATTCTAGAAGTGCATTTTACTGTGAATGGACATCATCTCATGAAGACTGTGTGCGGATTTGTTGTTGTTTTTATTCATATGCATCTGTCAGTATTTATTTTGATTAAATGTGTTGAAATGAATATGAATTGTACAGCGACTGATTTATGCAAATAAATATATATGGACTTGGTAAGTGATTAACATGTCTAATGGTTTTACTTGTAAAATATATACTTTCAATTTTAGACTTTTTCATTTAGCAAAATACATACTGAGCAAAAAAAAAAACAGCCAAGCCAAAAATGGAAAAATATTTTTTTAATGGTTTTAACCATTTTAATTACAAATCACTGGTCAGGAAATGAGCAACAATCGCACAAATACTGTAGATAAAGTAGTTTAGCATTAAATAACCTTCCCATTGGTTTTCTTTAAATGTTTAAACTCGCAGACAGCCTTTTACAGGAAGAAGAGTCAGTGTTGTTCCACTCAATGTTAATGTCTTCAAACAGTTTATTTGAAAAATGACTTGCAGTTCGTTTGAGTTTAATGTGAGACCAAATATCCACTATAAGGTTCAAATGTGGACTCTGACCAGGTCAAAACATGAGCTTGATGGACTTGATCTTTGGGCAGGAGCGTCTTGTTGAAAAATAACGTCTGATTATTCCTAGATAACAACTTTCCCTCTGTAGGAAGCAAGCCATTCTGCAATATTCTCCTGTTAAGCATTAAATGACTTTCCACACAGTGAAGTAGCTCACCAACACCAGCAGTTAACAATGACACTCTTCCTCCGTGCTTCACTGTGATAGAGATGCATTTATTATTATATTTATCACCATGTCTTCTAGACACCGCTCTGGAGCTTCACCAACTCGTGTTTCATTGTCACATAACTTTGTTGAACCGGCCGAATAAAACTTCCCATATTCTTCCAAAAACTTCATTCTCTCTTTGATGTTTATCTGAGACAGCAATGGTGTTTTAAGTAGTGCATTTGCTTACATTTTTATAATTTCCTGACCATTGATTTGTGGTTGAGACAAATAAAAGTTTAGTGGTTAGCCATTTTGGGCTCTCCCCTTTATATTATCTTATTACATTTTTTTCTCAGGAGTGTTTAATGCAACATTTTACTACCAAATATGTAATCTCTAGGTAACTGAACTTATACTGTAAAGTTTTCATCGACATCTCACGATTCCACTAGTGTGGACAGACAAACTGCTTGACATGTTACTCCTGGTTAGTTTAACAGTTTTACTCACTGAAGCCCTCCATGGACATTAAAGGGTTAGTTCACCCAAAAATGAAAATTCTGTCAGTAATTACTCGCCCTCATGTTGTTCCAACCCCGTAAGACTTTCGTTCATCTTCGGAACACAAATTAAGATATTTTTGATTAAATCTGAGCGCTGGATCACTCCTCCTTAGGCTTCTTAAGGGATCGAAACTGGCCGGCCCAAAAGTTATTAAAGACATCGTTAAAATAGTCCGAGTGACTACAGTGGCTCAATCTTAAGTTTATCAAGCGACGAGAATACTTTTTGTGCGCAAAAAAACAAACAAAAATAACGACTTTATTCAACTATTCATTTCCTTCTCTGTTGCCCTCGAGATTTCACGTAGTGAAACTACGCAAAGCTTCTAAGTTGCACGTTACACGTAGGCTCACGCTGGTCATGTATATGATGCGTGTGACGTACAACCTAGAAGCTTTGCGTAGTTTCACTACGTGAAATCTCGAGGGCAACAGAGAAGGAAATGAATAGTTGAATAAAGTCGTTATTTTTGTTTGTTTTTTTGCGCACAAAAAGTATTCTCGTCGCTTGATAAACTTAAGATTGAGCCACTGTAGTCACTCGGACTATTTTAACGATGTCTTTCATAACTTTTGGGCCGGCCAGTTTCGATCTCTTAAGAAGCCTATGGAGGAGTGATCCAGCGCTCAGATTTAATAAAAAATATCTTAATTTGTGTTCTGAAGATGAACGAAAGTCTTACGGGGTTGAACAACATGAGGGCGAGTAATTACTGACAGAATTTTCATTTTTGGGTGAACTAAAACTTTAAGTTGAAAATGCCTCTTTTATTTGCGATTTATACAATTCAGATTGTTTCAAAGCAGCTTCCCAGTAATAATAACAGAATCAACGATGCAAACTTCATCAAAAATGAGACAAACTCAAACTAATAAGTCAATAGTGTCATTATTCAGCTCGAGTCAGTTCAGTGTTGATTCAGTTCAGCTCATCAATTATGAAACGATTTCCATTTATTTTATAATCTCTAAAAGTTACTTGTTGGGAAACCATGTTGTATCAGCGGTGTCATTGAGTGGGAATGTGAGTTTTCCGGAGCTGCTGAACTTCCTCCTGGAGCTGCAGGTTTTGTGAGGACAGGTGAACAGCGTCCTGGATGGTGTCTATGAGAAGAGCCCTGTACCTGCTCTCGGACATCCTCCTCTGCTCCTCCAGAACCTCACGAAACGCCCTGAACACCTGAACGCGTGCAGAACACAGGCCTGACACTAGATGACAGTATTCAGATAGGAAATGTAGCTATATAACTTGGGCACTATATTAAAACAAAACTTTAGCACACTAGTCATGCTTAGTGTTCGCATTCAGAACAGGAAGAAGACAGATATGACAATTTCTTAATTTGGTTTTCCAATCATTAAAGGCCTAGTTCACCCAAAAAATGAAAATTATGTCATTAATGACTCACCCTAATGCCGTTCCAAGCCCGTAAGACCTCCGTTCATCTTCGATATTTTCGATTTAGTCCGAGAGCTTTCTGTCCCTCCATTGAAAATGTATGTACGGTATACTGTCCTTGTCCAGAAAGGAAATAAAGACATCATCAAAGTAGTCCATGTGACATCAGTGGGTTAGTTAGAGTGTTTTGAAGCATCGAAAATACATTTTGGTCCAAAAATAACAAAAACTAGGACTTTATTCAGCATTGTATTGTTTTCCGGTTCTGTTGTGTCTTACCCACTGATGTCACATGGACTACTTTGATGATGTCTTTATTTCCTTTCTGGACAAGGACAGTATACCATACATACATTTCCAATGGAGGGACAGAAAGCTCTCGGACTAAATCTAAAATATCTTAAACTGTGTTCTGAAGATGAACGGAGGTCTTACGGGCTTGGAACGACATGAGTGTGAGTCATTAATGACATAATTTTCATTTTTGGATGAAGTAACCCTTTAAAAGCCGTAAATGGGCTGTTGT